GTTTTTTGTCAAGTTGCCACCATACCCCTTTTTAAAAAAGGTAAGAGCAATCTTTGGCTGAAATGCAATCTTCCACAAATGCCTAATAACTGAGCTGCTCTGGTTAAAATGGGATGGACAACTCTCCTTCCATGTCTCACAAGCTACTCAGCTTCCAAAACAGAGGCCAGCACCTTTCTTTCTCTGCCTAACTATACCCAGAAACCTGGGTGTCGTCTCGGAAGCAATGTCCCGCCAATCACTCTATCTTGTCAAGTTGTCCTCCCTGGTATCTCTGTCAGCACTGGCTCCCTTCTCTCAAGTTCAACTATGACCCAGCTAAAGATTCTCAGAAGTCTATGTGAGGATTACTGCAACCATCACCTGGGCTCCTTCCAAAACTCCCACCTAGTATCAACCTGTGGAAATCAACAACTCCTCCTAGTCTCAGAACAAAATCAAAACTCCTTTAGCATGTCTTGCAAACCTGTGCTTGTTGCTCCAACCTTATCTTATAGTTACTACTATGGATAATTCACCCCAAGTGTCCAGTTCCAGATATGGATCCCTAGTAACTTCATTCATGGAACTTCCCTAATGATTTACCTGTCACAGATTTGATTCTATTATAGCTCCTTAAGGACCTTTCATATCACCTTAATGAGAATCTTCAGAATACTATCCTGACTGAGCACAACTCTAAAGAGTAGTCCGGTCAGAGTGAGCCAGGTGAAGGGAGGGAGGGAGCTTCTTTTCAGTGGTCATCATGGTTAAAAGAACATAGTTCAAGATGCCATCAATTTTTTTGTTTCATCAAATTCACCTCCCAAATAGATTATTTTCACAAAACTAAGTCATTCAGTATAGATTTCAAATAATGTACTACCATTTCTTAAAACATTTATTGTACATATTGTACAGCATTTTATGGTACTTCTATTGCTGGGGCTGCGATTGAAACATAATGTTTTAACAGCTTTCAAATAAAATATGCCATACTAGTATGTATGCTTATGTACGTGAATTTTCTAGTATTACAAACTAGTAACATCATTTTGAGTCCCATTTTGCATAGTATTCTATAAAAGCTTTATGGACTGAAGATGTACATTCAAATTGACAGTTACTGCTAATCTTCAAAAAACCTGAAAGATTAAGATTTAAATAAATTTAAATTATGAATAATTCAATGTGTGCTGAGGATCACAAACAAGTAAAAAACCAAACATTTTTGTAACTAGAAAACAAAACAGTTTTAATCCTATTTATACTATTCTTTGAGTTAAACATTCTTTTCCCTTGTGTGTGCTCTAACATGGTAAAGAGATTTCCTATGACTTTAACTAAAGAACATTCGCTGAGCATGTGTCAGGTGGTGGGAAAGACCGAAACACTTAATGCTGGAGTTGTACCTTCCTGGCCTGCTCTTCAGCTCTTTCTTTTTTAATCTTTTCTAGTTCTGCAAGGAGCGCTGCCGTGTCATCATCATCACTCTCCTCCTCAAAATCTTCATCTTCGTCCTCCTCCTAAACCAGATAACATGGTCCAAACACAGGAAGAAAAATGTACATCATTCCTTTTGTCTCATACATTTGTCCTTATAAAATCTTGGGGGACAGGATTAACTTTCTTAATGGGAATGATCAATGTACTCAAATATTATAATTAAAATCAACAATCAACCAACATATAAAGCCCCACTACCCAGACTAAGAATTAATATATGTCTTAGAGATTGTAACAGCACACAGTCTAACAAAATGCCTTTACAATTTACGTGGCCGGACAGAAGGAAATTTACTTATGATAACATTTCTAAAACTAAAAAATGAACTGTATTGCAAAACACAGTACAACGTTCTCAGAAAGTGCAATACTTTTATGTTAAACAAAATAACTACAAGTTAGCAAGTTTGGATATTCAAAATAAATTTAAAAATCAAATTTTAAAAGGTGCCATATTCTCAGATCGTCGCAAAGGAGCAATCATTAAATCTCAGGTAAACTTGTTCTCTCATTACATTTAATTACGATTAGTCAACTAAAAGTAACTGCTGATGTATACGCTTCGTTAGAAGTTCCCTATAAGAGGCAGCTCATCAGAAGAGCCCTCCTCCTGGGTACGCCTCCAGGAGTGCTGTGGACAGGCAGTCCAGTGTGAAGACTGCCCTCCACAGTTGTACAGCAAGTAAAGTAACCCAACCTCTCCATTTATTGCAGGGAAGCACAGTCTTTCCTTCATCCAGCTAGTAGTGGTACTTTTTACCTTAAATTCAAAATGCGAAGCTTAACAGAGGACTATGTGTAATCACAAGTAAAAATAAACACAAGTTACTTAAAAATAAAAGAAAAAAAAGCCTTAGTCAGAAAACACATGAAATTATTGGAACGAACTAAAAGAGGGCAATCACACATACGTCTGTAAGAGGATCATCTGCATCAAGGTTGGCGGCAGGAATCTGGTCCAGCCTGGGCTTCTTTGACACTGAAGAAGAGGTTGTATGTTCTGGGGAAAGACAGTGATCATTTAGTGAAGTGAAACAAACACCGTCAATGCCCAACACGCTTTAGATGTGTGGGCACCAAATGCTGAGATTATAAGCATCAGGACACCAGAGATCATAGCAGCACTCACAACCAAAAGGCCATCGAGTCAGCCCTGACTAGCAGTTGTCTCTCTGGCAGTTTACTCAGCTTTCCCCCAAGTAGCAGCTGATGCATCTGAACCACCAACCTTGTACTTAGCAGGCCCCTGTTCAACTCACATCACCACCAGGGATCCTTGTACCTAGCACAGGTCTTGGCAAATAAGCCTATGGCCAATATTTGTTGAATTTATAAAAATGTTTATTTTGAAACTGTGACTTAATTCAGGAAATATAAGCGTTTAGGAATGATAGAACCACATACAGAAAAAGATTTATTATGGATACCTCTAGATGCCCCCAGGTGTTGTTTACTGTTTTGGGGTGCCTTTGAGTTGATTTCAACTCAGTGATCCCAGGTGACAGAGTAGAATGGTCCCATAGAATTTTCCAGGCTACAATCTTCTAGAGCAGTGGTTCTCAACCTTCCTAATGCCTTGACCCTTTAATTCAGTTCCTCATGTTGTGGTGACCCTCCCCCGCCAACCATAAAATTATTTTTTATGCTACTTCATAACTGTAATTTTGCTACTGTTATGAATCGGTCGACCCCTGTGAAAGGGTCGTTCGACCCACAGGTTGAGAACCCCTGTTCTAGAGCGTGGACTGTTGCCTGGTGTAAATAGTAAAAATCACCTAATCTGAAACTATAAAAGATGAAAATGGAATTAACCTAAGCTATCACATCTAATCAGTTCATTTAAGGAACATCTGAGCCCACACCAATATTTTAACACATATTAATTTTTTCCAATTACAACATGATAAATGTATCCAACATGACGGTTTACGAGATAAATGTTCAGTACAGAAGTACCTCGGGTTGGCCGATCTCTATTTTTCTCCCGTGCGGCAACTCGCTCTCTCTCTTCCAATTCTCTTCTGAAGTCACGGTTGCGAACTTCTTCAGGAGCATCCTGAGTGGTTTGTCTACAGTAGAAATAAACCAAAACAAACTGTTACTCAAAATGCACAGCTGTTCACATGAAAGACAATCCACAAAAGCTTCCCTTGTCTCCAGTCCAAGTATAAAATAACCCAGTGAGATCACGACTTTAATCTGAAGGTTACTCAGTTACCCTTGTGATGTTTTCACTAATTTAAGAAGCCTACAGTCATATATATATATATTTTCTCATAAGGATGCAAATTAAAATATCTTTAATTGTAATTTAAAATGAAGGGCATGTTACAGGAACACTTCTCTCCCACTCACATATTACTGTTTTTGAAACTGCTTTACTGAAGCCAGTGATAGGTTAAATCCAGTACTGACCAGGGCTATCTGAGGGTAGTTACACATAGAAACCCCCAGTCAACAAGTAATTGTTTAACAAAACTTCTGGTAGCAGTTGACAATCACGGAGCACAGTTTGCATGTGAAGCACACTCTCTTGTTGCTGTTGGATGCCAGAGGGTGAAGGAACTCTCGACCTGTAGGGACCCCAGTTGACAGACTTGAATGCCCCACTGGGATTTCTAGGCTATAATCATTAAATGAACAAATTAGCAAGTCTCTCTCCACTGGAGCCACAGGATGGTTTCTAACCATCAATCTTTCAGTTAAGTCAAGCATTTAACCACCAAACTCAAATTCACTGTCCTTAAGTCAATTCAGACATAGTGACACCCAAAGAGCAGAATAAAACTGCCCCTGTGCATTTTCAAGACTGTCAATCTTGACAGAAGTCGAAAGCCTTATCCGTCTCCCATGGAGCAGCTGGTGGTTTCGAACTGCTGACCTTGCAGTTAGCAGCCCAACACATAACCCAACAGCTACTGGGGTCCTTTTACTTAACCACCAGGATCCCTAAAATAAACTCTATTTCCAAGAAAATAAATAACTTAAAATGATGCAATGCAAATCTGCCTGTACCTCATATTCATGCCATCTGGTAAGTCCTTCTCTCGTCTGCATAATGGAAAATGAAAGCATTATTTACCTGTATTTTATCTTTGTGTGAGAGGGTAGGTCTCTGCTGGAATACTGCTTTGACAGTTGGCTCAAATCACCTTCTCCTTTTCCTCTTCCACCTCTTGCAGGTTCAAAAGTTGGCCTGGCTGCTGTGGTCATTTTTTATATGCTTTGAACAAAAAAACAATAGCAAGTTATTTCCAGTTTGATAAACTGCTATTGTAGAAAACATGAGTCAATGATCATCCTTGTGCGACCGTATCTCAAACTCATGACTGAAAATCTCATCCGATCTGAGCTGTAGCAGTGGCTCAGTGTCCTCAAATCACCTGTTTCTTCTAACAAAAAAGTATCAGGAGATGAACCAGGGATAAACCTAAGATGCCATCTTTAATCAGTTCAAAATAGCGGGCTGTGCATTGCGCTGTGAATGGATCAAACTCACTAGCCATTATGTGGGACAACGATGAGGCTGTCTGCTCCCATGAAGAGTTAGAGTCTCAGAAAAGCCAGAGGGGCAGCTCTATCTACAGGGTCACTTTAAGCCAGAACCCACTAGGTGGGTTGAGCTTGGTTTCTGGTACACAAGGAATAGCTCCTTGGCCAGCTCCTAAGAGGTTAAAAATTAAAAAATCCGCAATAAAGATTTGAATTTGTTTCGCTCTTCCCTCTACTGGCTGGGTGGCCTTGAGCAAATCACTCGGCTTACATGGTGCCATCTGTAGAGCGAGGACCCTCCTCATTGCGTTACCATGCGTGTCCAGGCACTTGTGAAACAGTCTATGACCGGCGCTTCAAACACGCTAACTTTTACCGACACCTCACACACCAGCACGAAGACATTCACTGTGCGGGAGTCACGCAGCCTCAGAGCGACCCCGTGGGTTTCCGAGACGCTGTGTGCTGACTGCTCATCACGAAGATCGCGGCCCAACGCGTTAACCACACCACCACCACGACTCCCACGGACACACACACACACACACACACACGCGCGCGCGCGCCTTTTAAAAAACCACTGACGACGTTATTCACTGCCCCGGAGAAGCTACTGGAAAAGGGTGCATGGGCAAAATGACCCAGCCCTCTGTGGTCGCTGCCATCACCCTCACGGGCTCCAGGTCTTTTGAAGGGGAGGCTTTCCGGACGGCGCGAACCAAACACCAAGAGCCCCCCGGAGGCCGAGTCCCGACGACGTGCCCCCGGTCAAGGCCTAGCAGATGCGGCCGAGAAAACTCCGCTGGCGTCGCAAAGTCCCGTTAAATCTGGGTGGTTTCCGCACACGGTTCGTGTTTTTCAAAAGAACGGGAGAGCGGGGAGGGCCGGCGAGAGGGAGAGAGGGTTACCCGCCGTGCGGGGGGCGCCGCTCG